ATTGATTTTAGCCTCTACAGGCCAGAGTAAAAAATCGTTCATTGCCTTCAAAGAAGTATTCCTATCCCCACTAGTAGCCTCTTTGGATCCCACAATACTGAATACCAACCAGCATTTAATAGGTCATTCTTGGGGAAGGTACTAGAGCAGGTTGTGGCTTCTCAGCTCCTGAGGTTCCTGAATGAAACAGAGTATCGAGACCAATTTCAATCTGGCTTCAAGCCTAGTTATGGGACAGAGACAGCTTTGGTTGCCTTGGTAGATAAACTACGATGGGAACTGGATAGGGAATCTGTGACCCTGTTGATTTTGCTGGACCTCTCAGTGGCTTTCAGTACTATCGACCATGGTATCCTCCTGACCCGTCTCTCTGGAATGGGTCTTGGGGGCACTATTTTATGGCATCTCCAGTCCTTCCTGGAGGACAGAACTCAGAAGATGGTGCTGGCAGACTCCTGTTTGAAACCTTGGCTGCTGACCTGCGGAATACCTCAGAGTTCTGTCTTCCCTCCTATGTTCTTTAACATCTACATGAAACCAGTGGGAGAGATTATCCAGACTTTTGTGGTTTGGTGTCACCAGTATGCGGATGACACCTAACTCCACCTCTCGTTGCCACCTAAATTCAAGGAAGCTACTTTGGCTCTAGATCAGTGTTTGGTATCCATAATGGACTGGATGAGGGTGAATAAATTGAAACTTAATCCAAACTAGAAAGAGGTGCTCCTGGTCACTCAAAAGGCATAACAGAGAATAGGAATGCATCCGGTATTGGATGAGATTACATTCCCATTGAAAAAACAGGGGCTGCCGATGGAAATTGTAAGCAAACTTCAACGGAATCTTCAATGCAGCAGCCAGATTGCTGACTGGGGTTGGTTACAGGGATCACATACCCCTCCTATGACAGCAGCTCCACTGGCTGCCAATCAGTTTCCATTCACAGTGCTGGTTTCAACCTATAATGCCCTAAATAGCCTTGGTCCAAGCTATCTCAAGGACTGTATCTCCCATTATGAGCCAGCTTGGGTGTTAAGATCATCAGGAGAGGCCTTCCTCTCAGTCCCACCACCTTCACAGGTGTGTCTGATGGGGACACAGGAGACAGCCTTCTCTGTTGCTGCACCTCGACTTTGGAACTCCCTCCCATTGGCCCCATCTTTGCTATCCTTCAGCAAGCAGGCAAAGACTTTTCTCTTCAGACAAGCCTTTCCTCAGTAACCAGCTACCTGTGTGTGATTTTTAGATAGATGGTTATGCATTACTACGTTGATTTTTAATATTATTTCTGTTTTCCTTTTTTGTTCTTTTCCATTTCTTAGAGTAACATATTTTAAATCTTTGTATACTTATTGATCTTTGCCTTAATATTGCGTTGTTAATATTGTAAGATGTCTCCTTATTCACTGTTCGTAATTTTAAATATTGTCATTTAATTATGTTGACCACCGTTGTATACTCATTGTTTTCAACTTAAAATATTGTCTTTCATTGTTGTAAGACGCCTTTGGTCCTTTTCAAGGAGAAAGGCAGGGTAAAGATATTTTAAATAAAAAAAATTATTCAGTGTACACAGTAGGCATAAAAGCATGCTAAGGTTTGTGATGATAATAATACTATTTATTAAGTACCTGATGAATTAAATGTTTTGCTGTCCATAAAGAGCCATACATTCTTATTTATCGTGATGACTGTTAGATTCAAACATTGTAGTATAGACAAAGGCATTTCCATACAGGAGTGAGAACAATTCTCCTTGAAGCCTGGATGATGGTGATCATCATCATCATTATCCTACCCATCAACAAAAGTAGGATAATATTGGCCTTTAATGCCAGATAATTAAGGGTTAGTGCAGTTGTGGAAAACAATTCTAGTATTTTAGGGTGAAGAAATTTCATAGGCAGTAAGTGTTAATATTATTTATTGAACATTTGCATATAACTCAAATTATTCATTATCCCAAAGAGGTTACTTTTTTAGATTAAAAAAATAAAAGGATCAAGCACAGCACAAATTGAAAGAAAAACTGGGTCTTCTTAGGAAATGATTTCTATTCGTTCACAGCCATCTGGCTGTTCAGTATCAGCTCAAATCAGGCTGGAAGCACGCAAAAAATATATATTCATGCATGTAGGTTTGCTTCTTCTCAGATCAGGCTGTCTCCCTTCCCCCCTGCACACACATAGAGTTCAGGGATTAAGATGCCTGTCTGGGCTTCTCAGGCAGACAATGTTCAACTCTCCAACAAATCTTCTGATTAATTATTTCTACTAACCCTCTTCATTTCTTTCTTGGAATTATAATAACATCATGATCTTTTCCAGGATTTCCAATATATTTAGTCAGATTTCCTCATTCACCTATGTCATTGGTTTTTAGAAGCTGGGGTTGCCCCCCCCACGAATGTTCAGAAACACTGTAGCACTAGCAGGAAATAACCCTGCACAAGAGCATTGCTACTATTAGGGAGAGTGAAGTAGCAGGTACTGGAAGGCAAAAGTCGTCAGCAAAGTGCCACAGGGAAGAGTTGCATGTGATGCGCAGCCTGTCTTACATCTTTACGCACTCCTATTGTCCTTCAGTGTAACAGAGGATGCTATCTTACTATTAGCACTGAATCCCACTTGGCTTCCTCATGTGGAATGGGAGCAGGCAGCATCTTCTCCTTTGTCCCGAGGGAGTAAGATTTAAATAAGGAAAACGTGTATTGGCAGGGTGGAGTACTAATTCAAGGATCTGTAGCTCCCTTTACCTTTTAAATGTCTTCATTTTTAAAAGAACAATAACGTTGAAAGGTTTTCTGTATGAAATCCAGTTTGGTCCATATCTTCAAGGGCCTGATAATTGTTTGCTGTTGATCCATACTCAGAACCAAACTATATGTTAGCAATGTTGAAATCATGCTTCTGTTCCAGAGGTGGGTTACCACAGTGAGTCTGAGAAATCACATTGTAAATGTGCTCCATGTTTACACCCAGAAGACCAATCAAGAAGATAAATCAAAACATGCTAATTTGTAAACTGTGGGAGATATGAAAATTTTCTCCTTGGTAACACTTTTACTGCATAGTTCTCTCTTCTCATGATAGGTTCTCTGTAATGTATTCCCTGAGCCTCCGTGATGCTCAGCTAAGCTTTTTCTTAGCAATTTCTCCCAAATGGAGACTAAAATGCTAAGAAACAACCAAGGCCTGTCCCCCTGAACACCCTTCCTTCACTCCCCTCTTCCATAAATGTTTATCATCCCAATGTGTGCTAGACCAGTGGTCCCCAACTTTTTGGGGGCTGCAGACCAGCTGGGGTGAGCGAGCTCCATGCATGGGGGTAGGGGCAGGTGCGACACCCCCCCGAGCATGACATGCCCCCCGCAGGTGCGACACCCCCCTGAGCATGACATGCCTACCATGCGTGTGTGCCCCCGCGGCCCAGTTCTGGCAGCCCCACGAACCAGGACTAGGCCATGGACCGGGGGTTGACGACTCCTGTGCTAAACAAAGAGGTATAAAGAGGGCCGTGGACCGGGGGTTGACGACCCCTGTGCTAAACAAAGAGGTATAAAGAACCAAACATGGTTTAAGGTCAAGGAAAGAATCTATTCTCACCAGCCCAAGGAAGGGCATGGGGCCCTTTCCTCACCTTAAATGTCTTATTCCTTTTATTTCTTTTGATACAGTCCCCCTCTGTACATTATTTCCTAACTGGAAAACATTCACAAAATCTGCACAAAGAAGTCCAAGACTCTAGCTCAGATCTATAGCCACAAAAGGAAGAGACCTAAAGTCAGAAGCAGGCCAGTATCAGTCATGGGTTTTATTTTTAAACAACTATGTCTCATTCACAAAATATTATGGGATGAGGACAGTCTATTCAGATAATCATGTCTTCCATTTGTAAGTCCACCCCCATGTTCTTCTAATGCTTCCTCTCCTCTTTCTCCAAAACCATAGTGGAGGAAAAGACTGAGTAGAAGCAGTGTGTCTTTTGATTAATAATGCTTGGAACTCTCCCTCTGGAAGCATCTCAGGACAGAGTGACTGAGATCTAGCCCAGAATTAAAATCAATACACAAATACCTAAAGACCCCTTTTGAAGTTTTGCTTTTCCCACAGAACACATATCTTTTTTCCCCTTTTGTCATTTTCTTCTTACATTGATCTATGTTATTAACATAAAGCTGAGTGGAATTTACAACAGAAAGTGCTTTTACTTTTTGTAAGCATTTTTATCATGGTGTCTTCAGCTATACGTGCTTTTTTAAAAAAAAGACAGCACCAGAGATTTTGGAAATCTTAACAAAGCCACCAGAAACTGTAAAAAAAAACATAGGTTCTTTCATAGCTCAGGGGGAAATTGCTTTCTGGACAAGCTGCAGAATCCCCCAGCTGTGAGACTCTGAAGTATATCCTTCAAATGTCATTCTTCCAAGTTATGAAACTTTCTACATCTTCTCAAAAAACATACCATGTGATAATTCACACTAGAGTAGGCCCAATGATGGTTTCATGAGTCAACTCTTCTGAAAGTTCTATGGATTCAAATGTGCACACTCTAACTGAGATCTACTGTACTATACAAGCCATAAATTTCCATTCATTCTATGGGCCTGCCCTAGTGCAATTTACTATGCCACGCAACAGGATTTCGGCCCATGAATACACTGTAGCCAACAGAGATATGGAAGAATTAGGAGAGGGATAGCTGTCTGATAGCTCAGTGACTTAGATATAGGAGTTTGATTCACACTACGTCCCAGGAGAAAAGAAAGCCTGATTAGCCTTAGGAAAGCCGCACGGTCCCAGAAATGCACCTAAAAGAAGGGAAGTGCAAATCACTTCTCCCAGATTTCCCCTGCCAACATGACCAGTGGGGGGTACAGTCTGAAAAGGGTGACTTTGTCAAGCCCTGGATTCTTGCCGTGTGGTGTTGTCATAAGCATGAACAAAATTCTTTATAAACCACCTCTGATAATCTTTTATGTCTGAAGAAGTTATTCTTACCGTATAGGAATTTTGACTCTGAGGTAGCGATCCACAGCAATGGCCAACAGTGCCAGAATGGAGCTCTCGGTGAGGATGAGGACAGGACATGCCAGCATCAGGCAGCTGTAGAAGTGTATCTCTAGGCCAATGTTGATGATGATAGCGAGGGGGATGGCAAGGGCTCCCACGGCAACATCTGCAACCGCCAGTGAGACAATGAAGTAGAAGGTGGCATCTCGAAGGGCTGGGTTCACTTTGACAGCCCAGATCACTAGGATATTCCCAGGAATGGAAACAAGGGCAATTAGAACCTCTATGGTGATATAAACAACCTGGAAGGCACCTTTATCATCCGGCATGATGGTGTAGTCCCCACAAGCTCCAGGGCCCCTGTGGTGCCTAAAATGAGGACATAATTTGTGGGTTTTAAGGACAAAAGAGCCTGCGAAAGTATACAAACCCAATCAGCTTCTCATACACATTCACCAGTCCAGCAATGGTGAACCTATGGCACGCGTGCCAACGCTGGCAAGCAGAGTCCTCTCTGTGGGCACGTGAGCCATAAGTCGCCAGATTGCTACCCCTTGGTAGCTAAACCTGAGGAGGTGGCTGCAGCCGCAGTGCTACTGCCCCAACAGGTGGCGGGCCAGGATCCAGAGCAGCTGGCACTGGCGGGCCGGCTGAGCTATAGGTGGTGCCAGGGTTGGGCACAACTGGAGGCAGATCCAAAGTGAGGGCTAGAGGCACCTCTGTGGCTGGGCTTCCCCTTTCTGCCACCACTTCCACCACTTCTGCTTCCGCCACCACTGCTGCTGGTGCCCGCCACCTGCTCTTCCCCACCCCCCAGTTTGGGCAATTGGGCTCAAAAAGGTTCACCATCACTGCACTACTCTATATTTAGTAGATCTTGAGAGATAACAGATTTCTTTGCATTCCACATTTCCCTTCATAAATCTCATAAGCAGTGCAGAAGAAAGGTAAACTACATGTTGGGATCTTAACATTATGAGAGGCTTATAACAACAATAATTAAATAAAAACACACACAAAAGCAAAATACTGTATTATGTGGAGTTCATTTTACATAATATGCATTTAAAAAATAATAATAAGCCCAAATCTGGTTGCTTAGCACAGTAAATTGCCCATGAGTAGACCCATTGAATCAGTGGAGATTTACTGAGTCAACGCCTCCATAAATTTCATTGATTCAGATGGGCCCACTCTAGGTGTAACTTAATTTATGTAAACAGCACTTACATATTTTGGACGTAGGATGCTATGGAACTCTTTTAAGCCTGCCATATTTTAGGGCCTCAGCATATCTTAATCTGGCCCTGTCTCCAAAACTGCACAAATGATTTCCAGGATCTTGGAAAATCTCCTTCATTCTTCCCATATGAATTTCTGAGCTTCCCAGCTACCCCATCCATTGTGCTTTTCCTACTAGCTGGGATGCCTCACCTCCTCCATGTGCTCTTTTCCCTAACTGGGCTATTTGAATTTCTATTCAACTCCTCTAGCTGCCTAATAGGCAGGGGATAAAAAGGAAGCCAACTGGCCCTGAATGATGTTCTGCACAAAGAATCCTCCTTTCTGCCTATCCTGGCTGCTTTAATTACACACTGGGTCTCCTTTGTTTCCACCTGTCCTCTTCATCAGCTAGGAAGCCTTGCACTGGTAGCATCCTGGCTGATTTACACAGTAATAGGACAGTCCTGCAAAACCAGAAAGAGGTGATCATGTTACATCTGCCCACATGTTATCATCTTATTAATAGCTGCATGATTCTTGTTTCAATTAAAGTATTTCCTATTTAATCCATAAGATTATCAGATTTCGGCAAACATCTCAATCAAAAACATTCCAAAACTGGACAGCAATGCCTGGGAATACCATTTCGCATGCCTTCACGATTTACAAGAGGTCACTCTCAAAACACAACAGAGGGTTTAACTGGATTTCATGGCGCAGATTCATACATTTTTCTCCCATATTTCTAGCCTTGGCTGGTTATATGTGTTTGGGTTGCAACTAGCAGATTCATCACTGGCACAAACAGTTCCTTGTTCTGAGAAAGGAAATTCATATGGTCAGTTCAGTAACTTCATCTGTTTTATATATATATCTCCTATTGGGATATTATGTTGTTAGCAATGTTGGCAAATGCCATATGGAGCAGAACTTACAGGGTTGAAATTCTGGGAGATTTTGAATGGCAGAGACAATGACATTATTTCCCATCCCACCAGTTATCATCAAGTCCCCTCACTATAGTTGATGGAGAGAGTAATTATGAGGTTATTGTACTACCTCTCTTAAATCAATAGCCAGGGAAGGTAGCACTTCCAGGACAACTGGAGCATACCAAACATTTCTGAGGCTGTTCTAGGACAGCATCCTATTGAATAGAAAGGCATCAAACACCATAAAGAAATCATAAGATGTCTGTCATTTGTGCTCACGCTCTGTATCATCTAGGAAGTATTCCTTTGATATCTCTACTAAACAAAGCAGAAGAAGCTGCCTTACTGCAGCTAAAATTCATGAGACTGACTATGAAATTAGGCCAAAAGTATATATTGCCAAGGTGGTGGGTTAATGAATATGGAATACCTCTCTATTTCTCTGCATTTTTTAGTGCTAACCTTGGCAGGGAGGCTCCATGTTCCCATTTTCCACAGCTAATAGAGCATTTTTTTGCCAGTTTGTGTGTCACTGTAACTGAGCGGCTGATGGGCTTCAAGCCCACACAAAACAAAACAATATTTTGCATGACGCAAGTCAACACCTAAGATAGTATATATTTGTATGAATTCTGCTGGTTTTATTATATGGATGTCTCTCTTTGTTTTATTATGTGCTAGTACTGGATACTCCAATATCTAATGCACTGTATAATCCATTTAGTCTGCAGCCTAAAAAATGCAATAAAACAAACAAACAAACAAATTAACTAATCTCTGTTATATTTGGGGGCAGGTTGGCTGGTTTATTTGCAAGTGCTTGGAAATGATGAGAAAGAACAAGCAGATTAATAGTACTATTCTATAGATAAATTATTTTGCCTTTTCCTTCCTATAGGACTTGTATGTTGTTGAACAAATCTTTATTTTCTTCAGTTGATAAAGTGTATTTGTTCTTTTGTAACAGGCCTCCAGTGCTTTTGAGGAGTACATGTGTACCCAACATTCTTTAAAACTGTAATTCCCTAGTTTACACTGTGGTAAAATATGAAGGCAAAAGTTCCTACCAGCAAGAACTGTTTGACGGGGAAATAGACTGACTGGAGAGTCTTCTTTCCTTCACTGGGAGTACTTTTGCAGAGTCTTGATGGCCATTTGTTGGGGATGTTAGAGTTGGATCCTGCATTGCAGAGGCTGCACTGAGCAGAGGGATAGCATAGAAGACCTCCAACGTCCTTTCGGACTCTTCCACTCTATAAGTCCTCCAATATTGGTCTAGCCATCCAACAATTATTTACTTTTTGTCCTTGAGAATATGGCCTATTTCATCCAGGACAGGCAAAGTGCAGTTTGGGGCTGAATGTGTGCCACTAGCCTGCTTTTGCATCTCTATGCCTCATTACACTTTATTGCCTTCCTGAAAATGTTTTCTCCAACCAGAAAGAAAAAAAGTGTCACCACACCACACCCTGAAGTCTACAGGGGCAACAATTCATCTTTTATCCAGGTCAACAACAAAGACACTTTTTCTATCCCAATAATGTCTGCTTTGACTAGCAGCAAGGTCAGATGCAAAGCTTTTTTTCATATCACCTGCTGATTTATTTTTAATGGGGGGATGCCAGCAGCCATTGGCAAGACCTGAGACCTTCTACATGCAAAACCTGTCCATATTGCTGAGTGATGGAGCTTGCTGTCTTTCTTGGATGCAGGCAGTTTCCAGTGCTTGTAAAAATTACTTTTTTGGACCATGACTTCCAGAATGCCCCAGCCAAGAAGCTTTTTAGAAGATTTTAGTTTTTCATTTAAAAAAGTAATTTTTCCAAACTCTGACACTTTATAGGTCCTTCTAGAAAACATGCTACAAAGACATTGCAGCCCACGGGGGTCATGCTTCTGCAATCAAGTCTTGTAAGACAATGTTCCAATATCCTGTTCACAGATACTAGATGGTATAGATAGAGAGGTCACTGTCCTTTTCTATTGAAAAATATAAATTAGCTTATATTTGGACTCCTAAACAGGAACTGGAAAACTGGGCAGTAGATACCAGCAAATAATTTGACCGCTCAAAAGATTCACAAAATGCCATAGGCAGATACAGGGTGGAGTTGGTGTTAACTTGCAGCAGACTCCCGCTTCATAATCCATACTCAATAGGGACACTTGTACAACCCAGTTCCATTCATCAATCAACACTGCAATGAAAATATGACCTAGAGCAACTGCCACATTTCCCCCAGATGTGAAAGAACTGAAGTCTGAGTTCTTAGAAAAGATTACACCTCTGTAATACGACTGCTATCTTGAGAGACGGCATGCAAATTTGACACAACTAACACTGTAAGATAGAGCTGATACCGTGCAGGGTACACACATTGTTTTGTTTTTGATGTCTCATCACAGTCTCCAGTTCAGTTGGTTTTTGCATATTTTCATGACACTTGAAGCTGCACAACGAAGCAACTCTTTTCAGATGTCTGACCGGCAATGTGGTAGGGTCAGCCGTGTTTTGGTGTGACATTCAAGGGCTGTCGTGAAGAAGTATCATGAGACTTAACACTACCAGCAAGAACAATGAACTGCCAATGTCCAGGCCACTTTGGACTCTGTGATTTGTTTTCCTCCTATAGTGGTAGCCATTTATCCATTAGGGCACATGGAGTGGTGCCACACCTCAGGCTCCTCATCTCTGCCAACCCACTCCCACTTGCCTGCTTACCAGAGGCAGAGGACTTTCTTTGCATGAATGTGTGTGATGTGTATGAATGTCCACTTCCCCCCCCCCGACTCTGACCACTATTGGTTACGGTGTCTTTTGTCCCATTAACAAAACAGTCATCACTGTCCTACGGAGAGATTGTCCTCACTCTCCATAACATCTTTACCGTCACAAAGCTATCACTGCTGGATCAGGATTAATGTGACAGACGCATTCCCATTGTTCTGGAGAAACAATTACTTGTGCACAGCTTTTGACCCTAACAAAAGTTGGGCTGACAAACAAAAGTCATCAGTCTGTCTAAGACAGCATATTCTTTTCTTTCCACTACCTTTCACATCTTCCTGCACATTTTCATTCCATTCCTTTTTATTTCTAATAAAGCTTGTTTTGGAGGGAAGCAAAAGAGCTTGGAGCTGTGACTTTTCTGAACTACAGAATATCTCCAAAATCTCCCCACCAGCATAGTCCAAATAGTCTGGGGAAGTCGTATTTCTGAGCTCTGGGAAATGATAGCCCAACAGTTTGAAGGACTAGCCCATTCTCTCAGCTGGTCTGAGAAGACAAGACAGCAATGACCACTGGCTGAGTTCTAGTTCTGCTTCACGCCTGACATTCACCCCACTGACCTCTGACTATCCCCATCCCCTCCATGCATTCACCTGCTAGCTAGTCCCTCCATCCAGCTGGAATGTCTTGTTGTCACTGGGCAACCCACCCCAGCCAGAAAGGTATGACAAATTCCAGAGGACATTTTTCACCTGCTTTCATTTAACCTCCTTAACAAAAGGCAGCACCCCACCCCTGCAACGCTGGCTGGTCAGATTCCCCCTTCAAATCATATTGCTGCATTTCTCACTTCTGCATACCTCTCTGCCATTTGAATAAATCCCACCAATTAAATATATGAACAATCACAGTTGCAGGAGAGAGAGAGAGAGAGATCCAAAATGAAGAAAGAACAAGATCCACACTTACTTTCTCTTGCCCAGGGTCCTGAGTGTGCCTTTATGCCACACTCTCTCCTTCAAGCGAACACTTCCCACCTAGGACAAGCAAAAGGCTGAGGGAGAGAAGGGACCATTCTGCTCTCTGATGGTTCAGCTAGACGACCCCTGTGTGTCTTGGCATCCTGGATCAGAGGAGAGCTGCCACCTGCCACTTCTGCTGCCTGAATAGCAAACAGGACATGGGCTTCACTGCAGTGAATCTCAGCTCTGCTGCAGCCACGCCAGTCCCCAGATCTCATCCCTAAGTCTGCCGCTCTCCTCCTGCAGCTTCCAACTGCCTTTCAAGCTGTCACATGGTCTTCTACATTGCACGATACACTCCTGCTTGCAAGATTTTAAAGAGGTAGTGGTCTGTTTCCAGTGCCTGTGTGCCAGTATGTAAAGGGACACGGTTGTCATTTTTAAAAGTTCACTGTTGTCCACAACAACATACTGAACCAGGCACAGATACATCCAAGAGTGATTCTTGCTTTTGTGTCCCAGAAAGGTGAAATTTCCCTGCTAGCAAGCTGGCTGGAGTCTTCCCTGTCAGAATCCTTCATTAATTCCTGGAACTGAGAGAGAGTCTCCCAAGAAGATGTTGTCCTTAATTTCCAGTAGGTGAGAACTGGCAGCAGCATCTACTCAGTACTGCTAGGGGAAGTGGCTCTGTGCATGTTCAAAGGTGTTTTCTTTATTAATTATAGCTTTACCCATGCCAAGATTCAACCCAATATGAAACAAACAAACAAAACAAACAAACCCAGTTCTGAAAGTCAGGTATTGGGTTGGGGGGAAGCTGTGTGTTGGCCAGAAAGACCTGATGAGGGGCATCTGTAAAATTTCCAGATTGCCTTTTATCAACCTGTAGATCTCTGCAGATGATCTAAGTTTCTCCAACTTCTGAGAGCTGGTGGATGGCAACCACAGAAACCGCTTTTGGCTGTGGTATCTACTGAATTTCCTCCCCAGTGAGACACACTTGGCAGTTATCCAGTTAGCACCCAGCAGATACATTTTTAATTTTCATAGAGTGTTTCAAGTTTTTGAGCAGGGTTGTTTTTTTGTTGTTGTTGCCTTTGATGTTTTTCTCGGTTATGTTTTATTATATTTGTCATTGGGTAAACTATTCCAAAACTGATGCTCTTATGCAGTGTGGGAACATTCTAATGAACAGTTTTTTTGTTTTTTTAAAAAAGCTATGCTTTGGTGGACTCGTAGAATTGTCGACTGGGGCACTTCAAAGGTCATCTACTCCAGCCTTCTGCTGGAATAGGAAACCTGTTTCAACAATACAGTTGTATAACTCTGGCAAAGGGAAAGGTGAAATAAGAGAGAAAGTTTTTCTGCTTGCATGCAGGCTAAAAAATAAGAAGCAGAGAGTAGCAATAAATAGTCTCCTTTTTTCCAGTAGAGAGATGTATAAAAGTAGGATTATCCCAAAGATTTGTAGAGAAACTGGTGCTTTTTAAATTTCTCACAAATAATTTGCAATCAGGAACAAAATGCAAAGTGCCCACAATTGTGGCTGATAACACATTATTCAGGGCGGTTGTAAGTAGTCAGGAGTGAGAGCATAGTAAGGTCCATCGGCTTGCTCTTCAGCAAGGAGTCGACTCAAAAAATGGTAGGCAATGACACCCATTGACCAAAAGAGAGTGCAACACCATATTTCTGACAGTGGGCTGAGACAGTGCTGTAAGCAGCAGCTGGAAGAATATGAAGCTGAGGCAATCAGACCAAAAAAATACTGGCCAAGATCCTGAGCGAGGAAAGTAGGATAGTCACTTATGCATCACCAAAAAAAGAGGACAAAAAGAGAGAGCCCAGCTGCATAAAATTACATGTGCTGATTTATAGATAAAGATGCAGAATTAGAAACTTTTTACAACTTTGAACAGGACTATAATACATCTTACATGGCTGTGAATGAGTATGAACAGGTGACTTGTGGGCTTGCTGAGCAGGACCGCAACAAGGGCAAGGCAACTGAAGCTTTGCCCCAGGAGGCCAAATTTAGAGGGCACATCTTTTCCCCTAGACTTCCTGGACTGGGCCAACAACCTGGTCTGCTGCCAGAGGAGAAATAGCCTTGGCCACTGGGAAGAGCAGAGGAAAGGTGCCTGGTAACAGAACAGGCTCCAGTGAGGCATAAGAGTGCTGGTGGACCCAAGACGATAAACCAGATAGAAGGTGGAATCCAGATGGAGGGCTTGTTTACCTGAAATATATGGGTAGACCAGGCCTCCTTATTAAAGGGGAGATGTACTTGGGACATTGTAGATTAGATGTATTTGGAGTGAACAGCTTATTAAAATACATGGTGTGCTAAATTCCCTTTAGCTCGCTGGATAGCTCAGGGGTTTAGGTATCTGGTTGCAGAGCCAGAGGTTGGACATTCAATTCCCCACTGTGCCTCCTGGGAGTAGAGCCAGCCTGCATGGCCTGCACAGTTCTAGGATACCCCTAGATGTAGGAAATGGAAAACCACTTCTGAGTGATCTCTGTTTGGAAAATCATGAAAAAGGGTCGCCATAAGTCAGAATTGACTTGACAGCATATGATGATGATGATGAAACTCTCTCTAGAGCCAGAGGCTGGACATTCAATTCCCCACTGGGCCTCCTGGGAGTAGGGCCAGCCTGCATGGCTTGCACCGTTCCAGGATACCCCTAGAAGCTGTTTGGAAAATCATGAAAAAGGGTCGCCATAAGTCAGAATTGACTTGACAGCACATGATGAAACTCTCTCCCCCTAGATCTATCTATATAAAACACATTTTAATTTCTTTTTGTAACTTTGATCCGCGGAGGAGGGAAGATGCTGGCAAGATGTTCACTGCTGGGGGCAAAATCACTACTTACAACTCTGTTGCTGATCTTGATGTCCAGGTGCATGGATGGAATATGCCCAAAGACCCCTATCTCATTTTTTATGGTTCTTTATCTTTCATTCGGACTTGGAGAGCATCTGCAAAAGAGAGGATGGCTCTTGGGCAAATCTTCAAATAGCAGACTGGAAAAGAAGACATGGGGTCACCTTAGAGCAGTGGTTCCCAACCTAGGGTCCCCATATGTTCTTTGTCTAAAACTCCCAGAAGCCTTTACCATGTTGGCAAGATTCTGGGAGTTGTAGTCCAATACCATCTGGGGATCCAAGGTTAGGAACCACTGCTCTAATGGAAGGAGGGGAGAGGAAAGGGTGATTAGGAAATGTAAGAGGAGAAGCAAGTAGCAAGACTGCCCAGCCTAGCAATGTTCCCTGTGGGTTAGCCAGATACTGTCAGCAGCACCTTCTCAGCAACGGATTTCACAGCAGCCTTACTAGAACCCAAGAAATAACCAGTCCAGTAGCTTCCTTTAGAGTAGGCTCTACAGCCTCCTGATGCCAGAGTGACATCCACTGAAAGTGCCAACACAGCCAATAATCACAACCTGATAGACAGCTTGGAGGGAGCCATACGTTCACTTCTTCATATCATATATTTTGCCAACACAGCCAATAATCACAACCTGATAGGCAGCTTGGACGGAGCCGTACGTTCACTTCTACATATCATATATTTTGCCCCAGAAGGATGTGCTTGAGGGTATGGTCCCACTGGCAATTTGAATTGATCCCCGTTCTATCTTTTTTATATATATGAGGTTCAAGTCAAGTGATATATAAATGGGTAGCCACATTTACTTTTTACTGAAATTAAATCAATTTAGGTAAAGGTAAAAGTTCCCCTTGACATTTAGTCCCGTTGTGTCCAACTCTAGGGCACGGTACTCATTCCCGTTTCCAAGCCATAGAGCCAGCATTTGTCCATAGACAGTTTTCATGGTCATGTGGCCAGCGTGACTAGACATGGAACGCTGTTATCTTCCCATTGTGGTGGTACCTATTTATCTACTCGCATTTACATGCTATCACACAGCCATTCCCGTTTCCAAGCCATAGAGCCAGCATTTGTCCATAGACAGTTTTCATGGTCATGTGGCCAGCGTGACTAGACATGGAACGCTGTTATCTTCCCACCGTGGTCATACCTATTTATCTACTCACATTTACATGCTTTCACACAGCCACTGCTAGGTTGGCAGTAGCTGGGACAAGCAACAGGAGCTCACTCCATCGTGTGGACTTCATCTTACAACAGCTGGTCTTCCAACCTTGCAGCACAGAGGCTTCTGCAGTTTAACCCGCAGCGCCACCACATCCCTTACATCAGTTTATTTCTGGTAATTAAATCAGTTTGGCGGGCTACATTGAAATTAACTTACGGTATTTCCTTAACCCGCAGCGCCACCACATCCCTTAAATCAGTTTATTTCTGATAATTAAATCAGTTTGGCGGACTATATTGAAATTAACTTATTTCCTTACTGTTTTAGCAACACACTGTTCTTGAAGATTTTGATTTTCAAAAAAAGTAAATCATATATCACTAAATTGAGTTTCTACCTGTTCTTGAAGATTTTGATTTTCAAAAAAGTAAATCATATATCACTAAACTGAGTTTCTACAAGGTGCTACCTAGTATCACAATAGTCACTAGAAACTGTGGGGGAAACACCAGAGAGGTGACTCCAGCCAATTACTGAAGGAAAAATGGGAGTGGGAAGAGAGAAGGCTTCCAGCTGGTTCAGCAGGAAGACAGCTGATGCTGGAGCCTCGGCCCCTGCACTGCTCTCCTGGATGCTGCTTCTCCTGGATTAGGGGGAATGGCACAAAGGTTGTGTTTATACAGCCACTAGTTCTGAACCTGCTCTGTGCCCCCTCTGCACCTGGTGGTCTTCTGCTGCTCCACCAGCCCCTTCATCAGCTGAATGGAAGGAATGGGGTAGGTGGCTGTGATGCTGAATGAATTTATTAAGTGATGCAGCGATAAACATTTTAGTAAAAAAATTTTAAAAATTAAAGGAAAAATGGCAATGCCCCTGCCACCAAAATCTATGTAGACACAAATTAAAATGATGGCAGCATTCACAGCTCAAAACCTGATGCAGCGATAAACATTTTAGTAAAAAATAAAAACAAAATTTAAAGGGAAAATGGCAGTGCCCCTGCCACCAAAATCTATGTAGGCACAAATTAAAACGACAGCAGCATTCACTTCTCAAAACTAAAACAACACACACACAAACACACCGGTTTATGTATCTGTCTGCAGAGCCAGAGATTAGGAGTTATATTCCTCACTGTGCCTCCTGGACTGTGGCTGGATGTGATGATCTGTAGGATCTCTTCCAGCTCTGCAGTTCTGAAATTATTACTATTATAAGAGAAAGAGAAAGATCAGTTCAGAACTTACTATCCATAG